AAAGCTATCATATGACTTCAAAAGACTTGCAATAAATCATATTAGGTCTCGTGATGAAGTTTTTATGATTTTAATCAGATTTTACAGCTGTATTTACCATCCAATTTTATTCTATGGAAGAAAGCAGTGTGAACATTCTTCAAAATATCGCCTTTTTCAGTGTTCAATGAATGAAGAAAGAAATTCATACAGATTCTGAATGGCATGAGCCCGTGAAGTAAATGACCACAAAACGTTACATTCGAACTGTCTCTTTAAAACCTGTTGCACAATAACACTGCAAGACAGTGTGCTAAATAAGTGGTGTGTAAAAAGGGCAGATACTGAGTAAGCACTCTTTTGCATATTTCCCCTGGTTCTCAATATTTTACAGCATGAATTATAATATTCTGTTCTTTGAAGTCCCCAGTAAGGCTTTGCGTCGGCTCTGAGTAATTCCAAATGTATATTTTCCTCACGGTGCACTCGCACACACACCCCATCTGCCGTGATTTAGGCCTAAAACAAACAGCTCAAACAGGCAGCAGTGGATACAGTGGATGCCACTATCCACCGAGGTAACCGAGTTAAGATTGAACGCTTTCCCGGCAATTGGATTTCCATTGACAGATCCGCAGAAGCAGCATACGTACAGAAACAGAGTGGCGAGGCAGTCAGGTGCAATCTTTGCTCTTTCGCCCCTTTGCTTTTTCAAAACATTTGACCAGAGAGGGCTGATATCTGGCTCAGCGCTCGGTAAAAGGTACGTCCGTTCGCATCAGCCGAACTTGGACGTTTGCGTTTGGCCATCTACAGTACGTGGAGTGATTTATTTGAGCCAAAGGAAACACGGTGCACAAATTATGCTTTGCTAAGCGATTTAAGGAACTCTATTTTAGAGGGAAGAGTGAGTCTTTAACCTTGAGGATCTTTGTTAGTCTTGGATCAGATGGTCAGTTTAATGCTGAGTTCAGGACGTTTACAGTTACAAATACCAGTGCCAGACCCGAGCCAGGTCTATCATTTCATCTCATTACTCAGTTGTCACAAGGGATTTTTCCCTCTCTCTGTCCATTCTGTTAATGGCATCAACGGCCCTTCACCTTGGGAAGGCGGAACTCAAAATATACGGGGAAAAAAAGAAACATGGCCTTGAGGCTTTATTTTTGAACTATAAAAAAGGTAGTTTGCTGAAAATTAGCTACTTGATCTGATCCAGCAGATATTGTCACGTTTAGAGGTCTTATTTAACATGGAAAAAGTGTATTTTTTGTTGGTGTTGTTGTTGCAAAATTACCATGATAAACAAAGCCCTATATTTGGCAGAATATATTTGCACTTTAAAAACAGGCGTAATGACAGCAATTCATCAAACATTTACTCAGCGGAAATACTACTGAGAAATAAATGATTTTGGCAGGATGATAAACTCAGTTGCGAGAGAGATTTGTAGATAATCAGACAAAACGGGCGAAAATTGCATGAATAATTTGTCGACGCGAGAGCGAGACAACCGCACTGTTACACAGCGTGCTCCAGGGGTTGGAGCGTCGTCGTCTGCCGAGACGTGGCTGAATTTGACTAATGCCTCTCTCGCTGTGAACAATAGAGACGAATGTTACTTTAAATCCGAAATACTTAAATCCAGCTTTCGATGACTCCAGGCAAATATCATTAATCACGCTAGGCCCACCTCGCACAGCACGCGCGTGCACGACCAGATGATGGCTTTCCCCGACTCAATCCATCACACGCGTGTCGTGAGCGCGGCCCCTCGTACCGGCTGAGAGCCTCCACGTAGGGGCCCCGCTAAGTGAAAGAGTTACAACAGCTGTACCTGGCGCTGGTCGGTGCTCTCGGAGCGGCCCGGCTCCCTACTTAGAATGTCATCCGGCTCGTTTTAAAAGAGCGTCACGCCACGGAGCTCCTCGTTTGATGTATCGTTCCTCATCTTTACAATTTTGGGAATAACAGGTCTAACTTATCAATTTGGCACCTGCAATCCCACCGCTTACAGTTTTAGCACATCATGTGTGGGGGTGATGTCATCATGTGACAGCACTTCCTCTCCTCATTACGGGACATTTTTAGACAGGCCAATAAAAATGAGAAAGGAGGCCATTTTAGAATATCCCATTTGCCTGAAAGTGAATCAAGTTATCTCCATTATTTCAGCACTAAGGTGTGCGGCGACAACGCCGACGCGGAACAAGTAGGAAAGTAAAGGCCACTCTCAAAGAGTCCACCACATGGGATTGGCCGCGGCGCAAATGCGCCAACATAAACCTCATAATCGTTCTTAATGTCTAAACATAAATGTTTACTGCAGACGTGCATTGTGGTGTTTTGGCAGAAAACGTGCCCATTGCGAAGAAAAAGGAGGAAAATGCTATTGCTATTTGTGAGTAATATTTAATTAATGACTTTCATAAATAATGAATAGAGCGGATGTAATTGCAGATGTTTTTATGATGACAGGCTTGGCTTCACTGGGCTTTTTTTTTTTTCTCCTCCCTCTTTTCAATTACCGTCCAGAACAGGGGGAGGCAGAGAGGAGAAATGGAGGGAAAGAGAGAGGGAGAGAGAGTGCAAGGAATAGAAGACGCGTGAGAGAGAGAGAGAGAGGCTGGTGGAGGAAGAATTAAAGAGGCTTTTTGTCGCGTTTAATATCAATTCATTCCATGGACTGCTGACACAGGCAGTCCAGAGAGCCCAGGATTTATGGCTCCCTCTAATGGGCATGCTCAGAATCAAAGGCCTGTCGTCAGCACTACTTAAACCACTCCTCTCTCACTCCCTCGCTCCGGCCCTCTCTTCTCTACTCCACTTTTAAAGACACAAGCTCATTTACAGCCCTGTAGTAGCAATTCCAAACTAGTTTGTTTCAGGACCCAAATTTTTATTTGGACATCAAGTGGTCTTCCAACATGGCACCAAAATGTAAAATAAGCATTTTCAAGTTATTTCTCTTATCTTGCATCGTGCACTATCAATGATAACGGTGTGTCATCTGTCTAATTTGGCGAGCTTCAATAGTGACAGATGACACCGTAGAGTTTGATATCGACAACTGGATGTGGCAATCGTCTCCTCACTTTTAAAACTTTATAAGCCTTTTGAGTTTTAATTTTGCTATCCTAACAAATCAATTATTTTTGTGAAGGACACACACCAGAGGAGTAACTGTACCAGTAATTTCAGTCTTAAGGCAGCTGTGCACTATATGAACTTTCTGCTTACATGCATAAGTTAACTAAAGTGAGGGTCTTATTCACCAACTCAACATATAAACATATTTGTTGGTAAAACTTGTGTGCAGACATTTTCATGTAGAAATCATATGAATAAGTTCGCACTTTCTATATTTAGAATATCAGAAACAACTGAGGGCATTCATAAGACAAACCACATACATTCATAATATACCTACTGTACATCAGACTCAGACTTCCTTTATTGTTCCCAGAGGGAAAATTAAGGTGATACAGCAGCAACAAGACACAAAACAAAAGTAAACTATCACAATAACTCAAAAATACATGCAATGACCTGATTGGCATAGTAAACTCAAAGTCACCTCCACTCACCCAAAAATTCAAACACTCACTCACTGCATCATACCTTAACCATCAAACATCTCATATCCTTAATCCAAGACAAATATTCCAATATGTAGGCAGGCCTATTTATATTCATAATTATATACACATGTAACTATATTATATAAAAACTTGAACTATAAACACACTCTCACATATGAATGTGTGTTATATATAATATAAAACAAGCTTCATATTTTCATCAAATGTGATGGAAAATCGTTGTATGTCTGTACATGTTATATGCACATATTAATGATTGAGACATAATCTCTATCTGAACCCGGTTTCTAGTAATGTAACTGATCCACAGAGGAAACACCCCAGACAGACGGAAAACAACGATGACATTGAGACATACAGCGGATAAGGATGATATAGGAGCGAGAGAAAAAGCCTGTAAATGTAAATTGTGCAAAAAAAATATGAAATCCACCCCATGAATTGAAGAGTCAGATTCAATTTCAATCTAACCTTTGCTTACAGCACAATTTACTCTGGAAAACACATAACGAAAAAACAGGATAATCATGCACCTATATATTGAGGGGTCACAAGTGGTAATCGGGCTCTTTTGGTGCACTATGCGAAAGGGGAAAAACAAATATACAAATAAATCTTTTCAACAATATGAGCATAAGATGTGTTCGTGTAGTAGTACAGCTTTTGTTCAGCACGGAAAGGAAAAGATGAAGCTTTGACATTTTGTCGAGTTTGGAGCGATATGAGGTAGTGGATTATGCCATAATTTTAGTTTAAATTTTAGGGTTTTTTTATCAACAAATATGTACCTAATTTAAGTGGTACTTCCTCAACTTTCAATAATAGTTGGCTGCCTATACAGTAGAAAGATAGAGATCTAGAGAAAGAGAGAAATACTAGAGCAAAAAAGACAAATAAATAAATAAATAAACACCCACACAGATAGATGTCAGATATCACCTTGCTTTAGTAGGAAATGCTATTAGCAAACTTTTAGGTATAATGGTGTCAACTTATATTGTTCAGGGGTGCAAGAATTCAAAGAGTAAACATTTAGCGGGAGTGAGTTACTTTCAGTTTCCAGTGAATGATCCAGTTATAATGGCTTAAAATTGTAAATGCGGACAAAAAACTATGACAGACAATCTGAAAAAAAGGAAAAAAACTCCATGTTTGTGGTAAACTTTTCAAACTCGATGACTATGAACAGTGTTTTAGGTTTAGGAAAAACTGAAAGAAACTACCGTTCCATTTACATAAAGCTACTACTGACATTGTAACAATGAAAAAGTGGGTTGAAAATCTGCAAAGTTATATTTTACCTTAGCTACAAAATTAAACAGAGCATGTGCCACTTTAAATGGGCATGATTTGTTCTACACACGCATTCACATCTTCACCTACTCATCCAAACAACATGACCTCCACAAAAACACTCACCTGCCCAGCTAGGGGTCTCCATGTACAGCTGTGTCTGAGCTTGTGGGGTCTCACTGCAACCACAGAGGTGTCCGATTCCTGTGGGAGAGAGAAAAAGTGACAAGTTGTTAGCAAGAATGTAAGCCACAGCAATTACAAACAAACAAAAAAAACATTTAATTCCTCAAAAAGTGGTATTTAAAATTTCCTTTGAATATAGAAAGCCCGTCTACCATTACAAAGAGGTTGAGCTCCCAATTTACATTACAGATTGCTCGGAAAATCCTTTTTTAAGTGAATGTTTGGACTTTAATTGTTTTTTTGTTTGTTTGTTTTTTTTTTTCATTTCGCATGCCCTTGTTATGATAATTTGCAAGGGGACTGAGGAACTGTTAGAGGACCTGCAGGGTTTAGATAAACTTAGAGCCCCACCAGAACCACCAAATCCTCTGCATGTACTGCAACCGCGCTTCATGCTACGCTGGTGTTGAAGTGGATCTGCCGTAACATTTGGAGCACACACACACAAGCTTGTGTGCTACCTCACATATGGATAAATAAAGCAAAAAAATGCACATGTTGGATACATATACATGGAAGCTGCAAACACACATGGCATACATTAACAACAAACCCCCCTCACGTCCAGTTAACCCTTTCCAATTGAAAACAACTCTGATAGTTGGATAAGAACGATAATCATTCTGTTGGTCTGACCCGGTGAGAAAATGGGCCTGATGTCACGGTTAATTTAAAATCGACTGAACTAAGGCAGGTTTGGCTGTGTGTACGTGATAGCAGGTGGCTTCAAATCACATTCTTATTTAGAGAAACATTCTGGTGAGTAAGAAATCACTTCACCCAGAGTGTGTGAGGGAGGAAGAAGCAGAAGAAAAAAAAGAAACAGGGAAAGATGATAATGCTGCAATTTTTCTTTGGACAGAAATATATACAACCCAACAAACACTGGACCCCATGAGAGTGAATGCAGCACTCGGAACAAAAGACCCCGTTAGAGCATTAGCGTAATTACGCGGCCATAATGGTCTCTATTGCAGGCTATTCAGATTAAATATGCATAGCGTCCCGTCCATATCCACGGGGCTTGATAAAAGTGTTGTTCCTATGTGTCATTTAATTGTTAGCATAAATCTGAAATATAGAGCTAATGTGCTTATTGAAAAACAGCAATCCACCATGCTGGTACTGAATGTATATACTTGCATATCATCATTTATCAAGTTTTTTTTTTTTTTTTTTGGTACCTCTGTTTCCCATCACACTTCCCCAAAAGTGAAATGTTATATGACTTCAGTGGAACTCAAAAGAATTAACTGGACAAAAAAAAAAAAAAAAAGTCTTTTGTATAGACCATTTTGCAAGATGTAAACAACACTGGTCCAGAAACCCTTCCTGTTTCAGTTTGTAACTGTTTTCTTTATTTCACATGTATGTTTGTTTAACTTTTTGATTCAGTTTTATATGTTCTGTTGGTTGTATTTTATCCCAGCTTTTATGCAGTGTTAAAAAACTGAAACAGGAAGTGTTTCTGGACCAGTTTTGTTTACATCTTGCAAAATGGTCTGGGAAACAAATTGGTCGTTAATCACTTAATTTTACAATTTGTTGTCATTGACCTGATCTTGAAAACCGATTTGTGAAAGAATAAATCTTTTTTTCTTTTTCTTTTTTTTTTGTGAACCAAACAATTCATTTGAAAAGATCTGACTCAAAAGAATGATTCATTCACAATCCAGATAGATGAATGAATCTCTGCTTATCTCATGAATATGCCAAGAAGAGCTAGAGCTAAATAGTGCTAGAGATAAATCTATTTCTCACAGAAAGCTATTGTATGATTTGGGAAGATTAGCAGAAGAAGGTATATGGCCAATTCTATGGTGCTTTTTGCATTGTTTTTGGAGGATTGTATTGTATTTTGCACAGGAGAAAGAAAGTTATACTGGTCTGGAAAGAAAGTTATACAGATATGGAAAGACATAAGGTTTGATTTCATTTTTGGATAAACAATTCTTTAAAAAAAAAACATTAACCTTCTTTTTTCCCTTCTCCCATAGTCCATTCTCTCTCTGTGTCGGACTATCTGAGAGAGGCTGTAGTTCTCTGCGGGGAAGTGTCTAATTTCATTCCGAGTGTTCCCCTCTGTGGTCAAGAGTAGAACTGAAACCCGGAGATGCAGGAAGTCTACTGGGAAATCCAGGCCACTACCAACTCTGTGAGAATTCATTTCTGAGGAATTTCGCTTCGCTTGCCTGAAAACAGGCTCACGGGGTGGCAATGAAAAACAGAGGTCTCTGCATGTCAACAAACCCCTGAGCATATTTGTGTCCATCCACCGAACTCAACGTGTACGTACACACAACTACATTCCAAAAAATAGAAAGCTGCCAACAGAGGCAGCATTTTAAGGTCAAGGCTGTTTCAAAATGTATAGGAAACATGATACCTTGTTGGATCAAAATACTAAGACAACATCACATAGGCCTACCTTGTTGAGAAGACAATCCCAATATGTAACACAACAAACTCATTGTAAACCCCATCCACTTTGTTTAACAGTTAAACCACGAGTGAACAAAACAAACTAGCCATAAAGTGAATCACAATATTACACTTTTCCAAGTCCTACTTAATGTGGTCAAGAACTATAAAATCACATGAAGCTTTGCACATGACAGTCCAATTTAAAGCGATGGACAAATATAAAACAATTGATTGATTTTGATGAAGATCATATACCGTATATAGCTCAGAGTATGTCAGCCTTTAAAGTTTCTAAGTTGTTTACACAAAAAACAATTTCCGATTGAGAAAAATAATGGGATTTCCAGAACCCAACTGTTGCACTCTGCTAAGCTATATTATGTTAATAGCTTAGCAAAATACTAACATCAAATTCTATTAGTCAGTTGTGTGAAGGAGCAGAGCTACCAACTCATTCTCTTATGAGGTTCAAGGAAGTTTAGGGTACTACCTTAGAAGACAGATACCTGTGTAGTCTATTAGGTTTTCCTCTTTCCTTTACGAATTACAACAAATTTATTCAAAAAATTAGCTTGAAGTGGGACTGATATAAGTAATTCAAATTAAGTACTGAGGATGATAAATTGAGCTCATTTACAAGTGCAACCAGTGTCTAAAGCATTAGTGTTTGTTAGCATTAGTGTTTGTAAGTGCATAAGTGTCCATAGTGGCCTGACACTCAATCTTTTGAGCAGGTATTGATGGATCGCAAATGATCTCACGCAATAACACAGACGCCAACACACACACATGAACAAAGCATGTGTATTGATTTAATCCAAAACAGAGCTCATATCTTACAGCTCCCTGTCTCCCTCCCACACTCTCTCTCTCTCTCTCTCTCTCTCTCTCTCTCTCTCTCTCTCTCTCTCTCTCTCTCTCTCTCTCTCTCTCTGTAATGAATTACCAGGCACTGGCTCCAGTATTTTTGGGAACAAGGCCAACATAATTTGTTATTTCATCATAAGTAATTAAAAGCTGTTTCTTTTCCTGTTGTGTCGGAGCTGATTAATTATTTGGACGGTAAAAAGGCATAAATAACACAGAACTGAAGACTGCCATGGAAAAAAAAAAAAAAAAACAATAAAACAACCATCACTCGGACTACATTGATGTCGCAAGCAAAAAGAAAATAGCATCTCACTAAAGTCTATTTGCCCAGCTATTTATTTTGGTACATGGCAATAAATAAACTGTCGGCTGCTGTATGATGAGAACAGTCCAATAAAAAATGTTATATCTCAACTATGAAAGCTCTGCTGCATGTAAGCAGATGAAAACAAGGAGTCTGACAGGTGTAATGTAACGTGCATTTGTGTATTTAAGACATTTTGTTACATAACATCATTTATGTATGATTGTGTTATTGCAAACATTATTTCCCCCCATGCCCTTAGATAGGGCACTATTTGAGGGGAAATCCATTTGTAGTGGTGTCCAAAACCATAGTGGACGTTATCGAGTCAGTCAATCTCACAATGCACTGCAATAACGAGCAACAGCTAGAGAATACCCATAATGCACTACGAGAGTCGAGTGCCAAATGAATTCATGGATCTGACCAGAAGATGCAAATCCGATTCAATGATTCATCCCGATTCAATGAACCAGTATATTGAACATATCGGTTGAAAATAGATACTTGTCATCTACAGACATCTACCTATATTTCACAGGGTTATTGTTTCTTCAGTGAATGTATGTTCCAGGCAAAAAAGCTCTTTTTTTAAAAGTGAAGGAGTGGTTCACTTAAAAAAAAAAAAAAAAAAAACTTTTGCTGATAATTTACTCACCCCCATGTCATCCAAGATATCCATGTCTTTCTTTCTTCAGTCGAAAAGAAATTAAGGTTTTTGATGGAAACGTTCCAGGATTTTTCTCCATATAATGCACTTTACTGGGTACCAAACGGTTCAAGGTCCAAATGACAGTTTCAGTGCAAACTGTAAACTGTTCAAAGGGCTTTAAACGATTCAGACGATGAATAAGGGTCTTATCAAGCGAAAAGATCAGTAATTTCAAAAATAAATAACAAAGTTTAAATTTATAAGCTCAAATGCTCGCCTTGCTCTGTTCTGTGATGCGCGTTCGTGACTCCTGTTCGAACTCGTTCATCAAAATGAACGAATCTTTTTTCGAGTCATTTGGTTCATTCAACGAATGAAATTAACGAATTGACTCGAAAAAAGATTTGTTTTTCGACCTAGTGAAGTGCATTATATGGAGAAAAATCCTGGAATGTTTTCATCAAAAACCTTCATTTCTTTTCGACTGAAAAAAAGAAAGACATGGACATCTTGGATGACATGGGGGTGAGTAAATTATCAGCAAAAGTTTTTTTTTTTTTTTTTACTCTACTCCTTTAAGAGGAGTTTTTTTTTTTTTTTTTTAAACTACTCCTTTAAGAGGGAAGCAAGTTGAACAGGTGGTGGGTAGGGTGGACAGTGTCTTGAGAAGAACATCTTATTCAGTCACAACTCAACTACATCACTTTTATCTTCAGTGCACGAATACCATTTAACGAACAAACCCGTGTTAGGCGGCTTATGTGAATG